GGATATACGTCACTCTCGTCTAAGTTCGACTTGGGAAATTTTTTGTTCAATAATAAATGTGAATTCTTCTTCCTGGAAAAAATAAGACATTCCCTGAAAATAAGACCTAGCGCATTTTTCAGAGCAAAAATTAATATAAGACACTGTCTTATTTTCGGGGAAACACGGTATACAGTTATAGAAATCCGGTTGGCAACACTGTTTTAAGTCACGTGTGATTAAAAACAAAACAAGTGTTTAACTTTTTGAGGTGATTCAATATTTCGATTTTAAAGGGAAAGAAGTTTGACATTAATTGAACCGTCTCTAACCATATTCGTAGAATTAAATTAATTACATACGATAAATATCAATCCTATCGTGTAAAATACGTATTTATAAAAGAAATAAAAGAAGGTATGGTTTTTTTTAAATCAAGCTTATCCATTTTAATAATGATCGATTTACTTTTTATGCAAGGTATTTTGAATAATTTTAAGTCAAATCTCTTATATAAAAGTTACTATTTTGAAGTTGAAATTAATTTAACGAGATTCATAAATTGCAACATCTTTCAACAAAAATACATTTATAGTTGCTATGCAAAATTCAAATAATGTTTTGATCATACACTTTTAGTAAATTTCTGATTTTAATTTTTTAAAAATTTGAACGACATAAATATAAAATTTAAAAAATTATCCATTATTAAATCACTTAAGCCAAGCTTACATCTTTACTAAAGAATTCAAGAAGCATCAACTTTTTATATTGCAGAAACATTTAAAAGCTTTAATCTTAAATATACTTAAATTATGTCTATTTTAGAAAATATAAGTAAAAAACCAAAAAAATTTATTTCTGTACTATATATTTTTATATAAGAACTCATTAAAAATATTTAGAATGTATTATTCATCATTGTAATTATGTGAACTGCTGTAGTTATAATTTTAATGACAAAAGATTAAAAGGTAATAGTAAATTTGTCCTGTGAATTACTAATATTTTTGGTTTCCAAATTGAAAATTAAGTAGTAAATAAATATCTTAGAACTGAAGAAAATATCCTTGTAAAGATAAAACTAATGCATGGGATTCTTGCCAATCCAGCTGTTCCTTGCATGGAAGGGTGCCGAATTAGCAAGAATGTATGGGCCTAAAGGCAATGAATGATGTGACCTATCAATTCTTTGGTATGAATTATTTTTGGACCTATATTGTTTTCGTTACTGTGAAATTACATATGGTGATACTGTAATTATAAGTTTAATTCTTTATTAAATTTAACGTTGCCAGTTTACTGCATGTATTTAAAAAATATGAATAAAAGACAAACATATCTTGATGGGATATGATGGATACTCCTCATAATATTTTTCATAATTGGGGTATGGTGGAATTGAGAGGTTGGATTAGTGTTCTGTATTTCTATAAATAACATTTTATTTTTGAATTAAATAATTGAATAATAGAAATACAGAAAATAAATAATAATTAATTCTCTTTTAATATATTTGAATTTAGAAATCTAAAACAGTCAAAACCTTTTAATACAATATTGGTTTATATAAATTCTGCATTAGTGTAAAATAGGTTTGCAATTGTGGATGATGATAGGAATTTCAGCATTAGTTTGATTAATGTAAAATATTATTTAATATATAATACAAAGTGTGTCATGAATTCAATAAAAATTATATTTACACAAGTCACACAAGCCAATGTGGAAAAACCAGATTATCATGACCAGGGGTGCACTTTTTTATTTTTAATGTTGGCCACAACACTTATTATTATTATGATGATGATGTCATCACTGGCAGTGCAGTCATTGAGCATATGACACCAACAATGCTAACTCTAACTCATAAAATCATTTTCTCTTACAGTCAGGGCTTTGTGTGTTGTGACAATTTTGAATGATCAGTTAAGATAGTTGACATGTGTATTGGAAACTGGAAATTTGTTTGTTTACTCTGTAGTGTAGGCACTAAGAGTGCTTTTTTCCAGACCCATTGTGTATTCAGCCAGGCTCATAATGAGACTGTTAAATTCCATAAATTTTTATTTGTTTAATTTTTTTAAACATAGCCAAACAAGATAAGACATAGGGTTTAACCAATACAGCATTTTGTAACAACAACTCCATTGTGGATGATGATAGGCATTTTGGCATTTGTTTGATTAATGTAAAATATTATTTAATATATTTAGAAATCAGTCCAACACATAATCTACAACTGCACCATACATTTTTATAAAAGAATAATCTTGCAGTTGGATTTACTGCAGGTAGCTTGGCTGTGAAATCTATCAATCTAGTAGAAAACAACCTTTCCATATTTCTGAAATTTATTGATCTTTCATCTCAATCTTTAAGAATAAAACTTCAATATACAATTAATCTCTAATTCTTAAGCTTTTATTAAAATCACTACTATCTGTTCCTATAACCATGCGTCAATTTTAAATGTACTAAGAGTGGTGCACTTTCATCATTTTTCTCTCTCTAAGACAGTGAAATAGCTGGGAGAAAATCTGGCTTTTGCCTTTTGATGGTGTAACTATTGATTTCTTTGAAGTTTGTTGAACTAGTGAAGTTTGTTTAATAAAAACATCATTAATACAAAGTACCAATTTTTAAGTTTCTTCAATTTGGTATTAATGGGGTTTGACTATAAAATTATAATTTTTACATAAGTTATTGAATATAATGATTATTTAGAAATCATTCATCTAATTGTTTGATAGATTATCTTATCTAAAAATTGATATATATCGATATATTTAAGATTGTATATGAGTTACTTATTTGCAAAATTGATTAACTCCACAAAACAAAAAGTAGAAAAATTGAAAATATAAATTGTTTTTTAAAATTCCTTTGAAAATTGAAATTTAAGTAAACATCGTAGAATATATATATATTTCATTGTATAGAAATACGAAATACATAAATACATTATACATTATGTGATTACATTAATTAAAACTACACTTTAATGTAACAACATATGAAATTGGTCATGCAAAAAATGTAAAAATAATAACGATTATTCCAGGGTTATACTAAGGGAGTTAATTTAACTCCCTTAGTATAACCCTGGAATAATTTTTACATTTTTTGCATGACCAATTTCATATGTTGTTACATTAAACTTATATCTCAAAGACAGAGTATAAACATTAGTGATCTGTGTGACTCTTGTCTTTTACTATTAACTAAAACCAAAGATATAGAAAATGTTAAAGAAATTTAAGAACATAAATATATATCAATGAAATGATATTACATTTGACTTGAAGTTTAAAATAAATAAATATATTTCTATATCTTTGGTTTTAGTTAATAGTAAAAGACAAGAGTCATACAGATCACAAATCTTTATAACTCTGTCTTTGAGATATTTGTTATGTTAAAGTCATGTGTATATGCTGAGAAAAAAAAGAACTAATGTAATACATTTACTGATGAAATAATCACCTTTAAAGATATTTTTATAAATTTAATTAACTACTTTGAACTAACAATTCAAAACTGTATCATAATTACATTATGTAATTTACAAATAATTTATAAAAATCAACACTTAAAATTTTTATGAATTTTAATTTGAATGGTATTTTTCTGTTACTGTTAGTAAGTCAAAGCATTGACAATGTTTGAATTAAGATATTTATTATATTCAGATATATATATCGATGACATACAAAATTTTCATATATCAATAAAATTTTTAATTATTATTCAGAAACTTTCTTTGAACCAGCAAACTGTTTTTAATAAAATGAACATTTTTGGCTGCTTTTATCAGCCGTCATCAGGTTGTAACTGTTGAACATTAAATGGAATGTTACACTACACAATGCCTTGTGAAATAGTTTGATTAAGAATTAGAATTAAATAGAATAATCATTGAAATTATTGCATATTTATTTTTTTAAACTATTATTTAAATATCATTTGATATTTGAATATAATTTCAATGTATATTGTTAATATTTTATTGAAATTATATTTAGAAAAAACTTGATTATGTTTAAAGTTGTGAAATTTATAATAGAATGATTATTGTTTGAAGTATAGTAAAACTTCTTTAACTTAAAGCTCCAAGAGGCAGGAAAAAACAGCTACAGACAATTTGAGTTAGAGAAAATGCCAATTCTGAATAGATTTGTATTTTTACCTCTTTTGCATTATATAAAGAATCTTTGATAGTTTTTTGTTTTAAAAAACCCATAGAATGCATTTCAGCAAAATGTTCAATGTAAGTAATGGGTATAAAGAAATTGCTTTTTTCCCTTGGTTTAATTAAATTAATTAAAAACCTACTAATGTGAGGTACGAATAAGGACTATCACACCAGTGATAATAAGCACAAACACCCAAGTATTAATGGAATACATTAAATAAAACGAGAAGGGGTGTACATTAAAAACGATTAAATTAACAATTGACATGAAATAACCAAAATGCATTTCGGACTATCAGAATAGTCCCTCTTCAGTTGGTATACATATATAAAAAGATGAGATACTTAAAATTATACAAGACAAAGAAACCGTTATAAAGGTATGATCATTGAGCAATAAATGGGTGTAGAGGAGACAGGCTTAAGGTGGCTTCATTATGTTACATGGTAGCTTGACATAATGGTTACTATTATAAACAGTATTAAAATTAGCAGAATAATAAAGTAATTGTTTTACAAAATAAGTTATATCTACATACCATAACAGTAGTAAGATGGAGTTGAAGGTGGCATTGCAACAAGATGCAGAGCAGTTATGAGGGAGGTGTGTTACAGGCAACATCTGGAGAACAAGTGGTGACTAACATCTTAATGGCCAACCTTCATTACATCACTTCTTAACCAGATGTTAGTATTAAGACTATAGATTTCATCATTTAAGGCCCAGGCACAAACCCTCATTAATAGATGAGGGTCTGTGCCTGGATGTTTGTGCTTATTATCACTGGTGTGATAAGTCCTTATTCCTACCTCACATTAGTAGGTTTTTAATTAATTTAATGAAGTAATGGAATTAAACAGTTTTCAGTACATCTTGTTGAGATAAAGCAAGAACTCCTCTTGCTTTGGACTGTAACATTGTCTGCAAATGTGTGTTGGACAATGGATACAACTGTCTGAAAATTTCATGGAAATCTTATAATTAGGATCACTTTGGATGGAATAAATGTTAAACTTTGAGTCGGAAAAGTTGAAAGTAACATAAATCAGTGTCAAGGGACCATGAAAACCTACAACTTGGAGAAAATTCAAGTTGGAGATGTCAAATACCTTTGCTATTCCATTGAGACCTACCAGTGATTCATTTTTTTTGAGTTAAAAAAAATATTCCAGTTACAGATGTTTTAGTTAGAGAAGTTTTACTGTATATAATTTAAAGTTATCACAGAAGTTGTCATCATTGTTTCTTCTGTTCTAAAACACATTTCAAAATCAGTAACATCAATATTTTTACTAGAGGTTATTCAATCATTAACAGTATTTATAGAACAGTTAATAAAAGGACAAAGGTATGTTTTGTGGAAGGTTTCAAGTTATTTATATTAAAAAATAAAATTAAATTAAAAAAATATACATACATATATATATAAATTTTGTTCCATTAGTATTGTAATATTTTCAATATCATACTTTTTTATTTCAGTTACTAAAAAGTATTCATTCTGAGAATGCTAAAAATATTTATTGAACATCTCACTGAATATTTGCAAGTTTTAGAAGCCTACAAAATAATAAAATCTTCATATTTAATGGAGAGTAAGAATCTATTTAATTCAAACCAAGAATTAATGGTAATAAGGCATTTTTCTCATTTCTCTTAGACACATTCTAATTAGCTTTTAACAGAATTCAGCAGAAACTGACTTAATAATGTTTTTTATGTGAATGATGATTGAACATATTTCATCTGAATTTTTATTAATTAATAAATTAATTGCAATTTTATATACTGAATTATAATACATGTCATTTTTATTTAAAATAATGAAACTTTATATATTTTTTTTTTTGTTTTATCATTATAAAAGCTGTAAATTACTGTATTATAATTTTAATACCATAACTTTTTACTTTCCCAGATGCTATATATACATAACAAGGAAAAGCATTGGAATCATGTCAGATTCCAATGCTTTTCCTTGTTATGTATACATACCCGCTGGTATTTTGCAAATCTCCACATTTTGAGATCTCCTAAACCCAAACAAGTAAAAAAAAAAAAAAAAAGAGGGCGGAATTCCATGTACATGTTTGTGTATTGGCATCCATTTATTTCATTTAATATCTTAGGATGGCATAAAAATTAAGAAATGAAATTTGGTGCAGTAGCTTGTGTATAAGAGGCAACTGATGCTATTAAATTTGGGTGGTTAAAGGTTGAGGGGGTGGGACAATAGTATGTGTCATATCTCAAGAGATGTTGGAGATTTTGTTATTAGAATTTACAAATTTTTATAAAACTCATCACTATCCTCAAAATTATTGCTATTTTTTGCTATTTTTTAATAATTAAGAATATAAAAATTTTTTATAACAAAATCTCATAACAGATGGTACCAACACATTTTATTTATTATGATTAATATAGAAATCCTTGTTAATTCAAACTTGGATAGTTTAACTGTACTATTTGTCCAAGCTGGGATATAAAGATTTACATGTTAAGAAATTCAGTTAGTTCGAAATATGGATACTTTGAGATTAAAAATGAAAATTCTGTACAAACTCCAAACTATGATATACATATGTTAACTTGTTCATTTAGATCAGTGTTTCTCAATGGGGGCGATATCGTCCCCATGTGGGCGTTTTTCCATGTTGAGGGGGCAATTAGTAACAATTTATATTTTGGGGGCAAAAAACAATTTTCTGGGCGATATAGTAAAACGTTATATTAAGAATAATTAGATATTTTATTTGTTATATTGTACAATACGAGGGTTGTTCGGAAAGTTCGCGGCCTCAAATAGAACAACAAACAAAATAATGTTAAAACTTTTTTTATTTTTTAATGTAGGCTCCTTTGTTAGCAATGCACTTATTTCAGCGATGTTCTAGCTTTTTTATGCCATCACAATAGGTCGATTTGTCAAGGTGTGCAAAATACTCGTTCACTTCAGAGATGACTTTGTCATTTGAGCGGAATCTTTTTCCAGCCAAGAATTTTTTTAGGTTTGGAAAAAGGTGGAAGTCACTGGGGGCCAAATCAGGTGAGTATGGTGGATGTGTAACTAATTGGAAGCGAAGTTCGTTTATCTTTTGTTCAGTGATTCTAGCAGAATCTGCATGTGCATTATCGTGGTGGAACAGAACCTTTTTCTTCTTCAAATGTGACCTTTTTTCGATTTCTTTCTTCAATTTTTCCAAAAGTTCACAGTAATAGACAGCATTAATGGTCTTTCCTCTTTCTAGGTAGTCAATAAAGATGATGCCTTTAGCATCCCAAAAAACCGAGGCCATCACTTTACCCGCTGATGGAACTGTCTTTGCCTTCTTTGGTGGTGGCGAACTGTGGTGTTTCCATTGCTTCGACTGTTCTTTTGTTTCAGGAGTGTAGTAATGGATCCACGTTTCGTCAGTAGTCACAAACCGACGCAAGAAATCCTGTGGGTTTTTCTGGTAGAAGTCCAAACACTCCTTTGACATCAAAGTGCGAACACGTTTTTGCTCAGCGGTCAGCAGATGCGGCACCCACCTTGCTGAGACCTTCGTCATACCCAAATTTTCGGTTAGGACGTGGTGCACTCGGTCGACAGAGATGCCTGTTGTCTCAACTATCTCACGCGTTTTCAAACGGCGATCTGCTAATAACAAATCGTGAACTTTGTCGATATTTTCTTCAGTGACAGCAGTTGACGGCCGTCCGCTGCGAGGGTCATCTTCCACACTCTCTCTGCCAGATTTAAAAAGGGCTGTCCATTTTTTCACAGTGGTGTACGAAGGAGCAGACCCTCCCAAAACTTCATCCATGTCAGCTTTGATTTGAGATGGGGTCAACCCTTTTTTCATCAGGTATTTTATGACCACATGAGTCTCCGTCTTCTCCATTTTTGACAAAGCATGTGCACACTGACTATCTGCTAAGCTGTCGTGGCAAAACTTTTTGACAAATCAAGAGGAAATTGGTATCGTATCTCTAGCACAGATGGCTGAATTATTCCCTCCAAAAATTAAATTGATCGCAGCGCCGCATATAGGCAAGGCCGCAAACTTTCCGAACAGCCCTCATAATTAAACAAATAACATTATACAAGTCACTAGTTTATTTAATGCAGTACGAATTTGGCATTAGTCTTGGCCCTCGGCATCAGAAGTTTGTAGTGAAGGGGGCGATACTACGTAACGGTTTTACTGAAGGGGTCAACGATTCGTTAGAGGTTGAGAAACACTGATTTAGATCAAAGTGAACACTATAAGACAACAGTAGACCAAGAACTACTCTAATCTGGTCAATATGGCTTTGCTTTTACATTAACATATTTTTGGGTGTCATCTTACTCATTGATTACCCTTTTCCTTTTATCTCATAAAATATGTCTGGTGTGCAGGATTGCAAGATTGGGCTACAAGTAGCAGATTGAGATATTTGTAGGGCTTTAGGCTACTACATTTGGGCCACTTAAAAGTAATTTGGGGTACATTTCAAGGAATTCTGCTTTACTTTTTATAAAACTTATCTGGAAACTTGTGGTGATCTCAACTGATACATATTGTTTACCTGCAGTTTATTTGTATTATTATTATCGTTAATTATTAATTAACAAAAATAACATTTTGTATATGTAGCTGTGTTTCATTTGCTTAAAAAAAAAATACATCAGTTACATGGCATTTGGCATATTGCACAGAAATATGTATATCTCAAATAATTTGAAACTTGATAATTCAAAGTCACAATTATTTCATCCCATGAATTTTGAATTAACGAGGATTTCCTGTATAGACATTTTGAAAAGCATGCTTTCTTGACCTTCTATAAGCTTATATAGTCNTAAATGAATCAAAACTTTTAAAATTTAAACAATAATTCTTACCAAATTAAAACAAAATTGGTTTATGTTAGTATTAATTTGTAAAGTTTCTAAATTGTTTATGCTATCCTCAGAGTTTGTATAAAATAGTATAATCCAAAACTTAAAAAAAAGAAAAGCTAAAATATCCTAAAAGTTTATAAAACTTGGCATCATTTTTACAAATAAATAAATCAAAATATTATTTATATCAGGAAGCCAACATTATTTTTTTTTATTAAAAGAAACTTTCTTGAATGAATCATTCTTGGTCAAAATTTAATCATTTTCAGCTTAGAACTAGCTACAAAACTGTGTAAAATAGTGTTGAACTGATGTATTGAATGGTGTAGAGCAGGACTGGTGAACCATTTTGAACCTGCATGCCATATAGTAAGCATACTTAGCTTTAAAGATGTTTGTGTGCCAAAATTTTAGACTTTGAATAATGATATTTTAAAAAATGAATGAATATGCTTTAATTAAAATAAATGTAAAAAAGCTGATTGAAAATAGGATGATAAGGTGATAAACCGAAAGGATGATTGAAAACAACAGGTGATAAATCGAAATCATATGATACATGACAGTGCTAGATGGTCTCATGTGCCACTCTGGGCATGTATACCATAGGTTTTCAACCCCTTGTGTAGATTATATTGTATTCTGTTCTTTATCATTCTAAGCTATTCAACAGTTAGTTCTATGTTGAAGATGATTATGTTTGTCCAAAATTTGTTTCCTTAAAAACAATTTGTTTGAAATAATTTACTACTACTAAAACTTAAAAATTTTATAAGAATTTATTTCATTGGTGCTAAAAATACAGTTAATACAAATAATCTGATATTATTGCATGAAAATTTTGTTAATATTCATTCTTCTGCCCTAATCAATTTTTTTCATAACCATCTTAAAAGTAAAGAGGGATATCCTACATTGGGTGGACAACTTTTGGCACACATACCAAAATGTGACATGTCAACAGCTTTTTTTCATCATACAATCCAGCACTTACCTTAAAAAATAAATATCCAACATTTTTGCTCAGTTGTATATTTTAACTTAATTTATTTTATTTTTATTTAGTATCACTCTACTCAATAAAATTGTATTCAAATACAATTTAATATAGTGATACTAAATAAAAATAAAATAAAGAAACACTATCAATTATTTTAGTAATAAGAAAATGAAACAAACATCTTATTTCTAAGATATCTTTCTCTGTGATGTACTGTCTTACAAGCAGGATGCCAATTTAGTAGAAAATCTGCTAAATTTAGCTTTCCCATAGCATCATATAGCTCAATGTTTCCCAAAGTGGTTCCTATGGACCCCTGGGGGTTTTTGAAACCAATGATAGGGTCCATGGCAAATTAAAATGAATTTGAGGGTCCATGGTCAACATCAGGGGGTCCGTGAAAGGTTTAATAAAAAGTAAAATGATTGTGACCTATTTTTGTTATTATGAAAGTTAAAAATAAATAGTAATAAATAAATTGGTAGTCATCTTTACGTCTTGAGTAAAATATAAGCATACATAAGTGCATAAAACACAAGTAATGATAAGCATTGCATGGTGGGTATACTAGCTAAAGCTTGCCCATTTTGAAATGAGCTCTGTGCTTCATTTATTGCATACATTTTGCCATTTTAGAATTTATTTTGTTTATTTATAGAATTTTATATGTTTATTTAATTTTTCTTTCAAAAACAGTGATAATTATTGTATGTTTTTCATAATTATAATTACTATTTAATTGCTAAAAATATATAAA